TGAACTGGGCTAGGATGCCACTGACCCTGCTGGATACTCCATAGATGAGGCATCTGGGAGCCTGCCCAGGCTTCTGCTGGTACCAGGCTAAGGAGCTGTCAACACTCTGACTGGCCCTGCAGGTGAGAGTGGCTCTTTCCCCTGGAGACAAAGCCACAGAGGCTAGGAGTCTGTGTCAGCACAATTTCTCCTATGGTACGTGAGATGGAAAGAGAACAGAAAGGTCACCTGTGCAGTCTAGGCCATACCCCAGTCTCCACAGTAGAGCCAGGACCCTGCAGCACCCTGAGCTTTAATCACTGGGCTTACTAAACAGAGGTGCCAGGACACAGGACTCAACCACAATGTCAGAGGTTTCACAGACATGCAGAACCATCCCATGGTCCCTCCCCTGGGAGCCAGAATAACAGGACACAGAGGAGCTGACTGGGGACTGCCATGGCTCCTTTAGGGTCCCACCTAACAGTGAGCTTCCCAGAGCCTTAAGCAGTCACTCATGGCTCTAGAAAGCAGTGGGGGGGGGGCATGCAAAGCAGCTGGGAGGGGCCAGTGGGGCTCCTGGGGCAGAGAGTTGCCTCCTTCTCTCTGCACTTGAACACCCAGTGGTCCTAGCAGGAGAATCCTGGGCTCAGCCTGAGGGCAGATCTCCCTCCTGGACTACAGAATTTCACCTCTTTCCTCACGCCTCACCTGGCTAATAAACTGCCCAGCTGACATTGGAACAGTCTTACAAGGAACAGCATGGAGGCTGTCGTCTCATTTCTCTCTTCATCTCCCATGATTGGTCCTTTCCATGAGGTAGGGTTATCTGTCCTGGCTAGGAGGAGATGACCAGGCCACACCTCCTCCTTGCTCCTTACTGATCTTTCCTGCAGGCCCAGGAGAAACTCACCCTGTGTGATATGTAGTATGAGCAGCTCTCTTTAGCCCCATAGTGTGATACAAGAAACCACCAGTGCCCAGGTGACAAGGGCCTGGCTCTGGCTCCTCAGGATCCAGGCACTAGGTCCCTGAGATGGACCCCAGTGCTGCCTAGCAGGCAGGAATGTCTTTCTTCAATTACCCTCTAAAACCCTCTCCTCTCCGTCTTGTGTGATGTGCATGTCTGACCAGATCCCAGCTTCTCCCCTGGGCAATGTGGAGGGCCTCAGCTCCTGGTTCCAATTTACAGAGGATCCAGCTGGGTTTCCTTGGGCTCCTCAGAAAGGGTCACATGGGGAGGTGAGGGCTTGGTCCATAACCTTCCCTGGTCAGGCTGAGCAGCTCTTCAGGCTACATTTTTCTGTTCTGAGCCGTGTTTCCTATATGTCTGCTTTTCCCACAGGAGTCCAATGCATTTGCTTCCCCAGCCTTTTTTGCCCCTGGGGAATTAGCTATTAATGCTCCATCAGCTCCCAATGGAATCTTCATCCACTCAGAAGTTAGAGCTTCTTCCTGCAGAAGATCATGTCCCCAGCATTCTAGAAGTTACAAGGACAGGCACTGAAGCTGGCCCTTGGCTGGGTGGAGCTCCATCACCATGGAACTTGTGGCAGGAGAAGTTACTTCAGCTGCCCTTGCTCAGGGTTCACATCCATAATACTATGACATAATAGAATCTCCCACATCCTCCTGTCCACCAAGTTCTAACCGGAAAGATAATCAGGACAGCATCAGCACCCAAGGTGTGCCATGGTACTTTACCACTCTATCATGCTATTAGCCTCAGCACAGTCCTGATGAGCAGTGTGAGTAACTCAGCAGACACCCAGGGAGCAGCCTGAAATCCAGTACAAATGCTTTCCTCACCTCCCATCAGGGCCAGGGCCCTGCTGTCCACTAACTGCTCACAGTGCTCACTGCTCTCTCCTCCTGGTGCTCTCCCCTGCTCAGCCCCTCCATCCTGCCCATTGGCCCTGGCAGCCCTGTTCCTTCAACCCTCTGTTATCCACACTCCTCCTGGGCAGGCTCACAGGCCTTCCCAGTCCCTCTGTGTCACTGAGTACTCACTCTGCCTTTCTAGTTTTCCCACTGTGGCCTTCGTACTTATAACTCACATTAAAGACAAATCCCCACCGTCCCTCTGGGGCTTTCCCTAAGACACTTCCTTCAGACTTCTCCTCAGGGGTTATCATGTATCCAGCTAGTCAGGAAAATCCTTAGCTTGGTATTTATATGGAGAATATATGTATATCCTTCCAGAGTGACAAAATAATTTAGAGAATCAGGAGTAGGCATCTTAATGACACAACTGGGTAAAGGAATAAAGTCAAGTAGAGAATAAATTAACACCAGAAAATACAGCACATACATATCCAACATATCCACCAATGCTCATGGGTATGAGTGTGTTAGCAATGAATCAACAATGTGAATATAAGTCTCCTCTGTTAATATATAGCATGAGTGTGCATCAGGCCTATGGCACACCAGTATGTGCAGTACTGGAAAGTGTTGCACATATGAATCATACAGTGTTGATATGTACATTGACATGCATGTGAGACCAGTCATGTCCACGTGTCCAAGCTGTTCCCAATTTGGAGGCTCACTGGCTGTGGCACTGCTGCCATTGTCTGGAGCCTCTGGCTTTTCCAGAACAGACACCTGCAGGACTCTCCCAATGACTCTCAGCATTTCTCCCTGGGATAAGGGGAGGCTCACTGAGGGAAGCCCTGGAAGCAGCAGAGGCTAATGCAGGCTCCTGTTGCATGGAGTTCCCAGGTCCTCCTGCCTCACCAGTCAGCTAGTTTCCCTGACATGCTGCTTGGGCAAACTTATCGGGAAAGGAGAAGCTGCCACCCCAGGTCACTCTCTACCTCACCTGTGCCCAGTGCTCTGCACCAGGGCAGGGCAGCATCAGGCTGGAATGAGGAGTCCATCAGAACTTGACCTTCAGGTGCACGTCTCACTTGCTCCTTGTCCCACTTTCCTGAGGCCCTGAGGCCACCACATTTTCTGTAGAAACTAGCAAAGCACAAGCCTCCCTGAGGCCCAGCAAGGTCAACCACACCTGCTTGGAGGAGCAGGGCTGCCTGAGCCCCAGGGAGCTGCTCCTCCTCCCTGAAATGGATGAGAGGGCTGAGCAGCACCACAGAGCTCTGCCTAGGTTCCTCCTGTGGTCTACCCACTCCATCCTGCACAATGCACCCACCAACCAACTCAGGGCCTTCTCTCCATGACAGTATAGACACTCTGTCACAACCTGTCTATCTGCTGCTTCCTCTGAAAACCTAAACTCTTGGTCTCCTGACCTTTCTCTGCATCTGAAGGGAGCTCCTTCGCTGAGGCTGCTCCACCTTCCCCTGGAACCAGCACCATTCAGCTATAAGAGCTTCACCACAGCTGCACAGTGTCCACCCAATGGCCTAATGCTGTCAGGTAGGGCCCAAGTCAGGCCATCTAGGTGAGATGAGGCTCTGTCACTGACAGATTGTGTTGCATCAAGATAGTCTTCAGCCTCCCTTGGCCTCACAGGGCACATCTGTGCAGCTGTTACACCAACAGCATCTTCTTGGCAGTTCTGACTTCAACCTAAACAGGATCAGGCCTTCCAACAGCATCTAACAGACCATGAAAGGCTCTTGATTCTGGTGTTGTGGTCTCCATGGTGACAATTCTCATCATCATCATAAGAAGACTTATGAGCAGGCACCTACTGCTCCTGTTTTGCAGTTCTAGATCAGGTTCCTGGGATTGTTACTGTCTGCTGTGCTTGCTCTCTAGTGACAGTCTGGAGCATCAAGATGTGGGATTTGTAGTCTGGGGTTCCACAGTCTTGAGCATGGATCTTTTCTCCCCAATTTATTAAGCTGTTCCTCTTCTTTCTTCACTAGGCAAGATTCTACAGGAAACTCAGGTGATCCCTCTGCTCAAGTAATATTTCATAGCTTAAGGACTAATGATGAACAGTTCATCAGGAATTAGAAACACATGCTGGTCTCAGGGAGGTTGACACCTGGCCCATGTGATGCACATGAGATGCCAAAGTTGTGGTTTTGGCAAAGAGAATAAGGGGCCTGAAGAACACTATAGGGTGCAGCGGTACCAGAGGAGGGGGTGTCCTGGGGCTCCTGGTCTAGAGCTGCCAGCCAAGCCTCATGCTCCCCACCCCAAATATTTCTATAGCCTCTGTGAGACCCTCAGCAGCTGCCAGGGTCTCTCAGGCCCAGAAGCAGCACTCAGCAGTTGGGCAGGGTCACACATGACCCCATGAGAAGCAGCACAGGAGGTCCTAGTGGTTCTGCAGCTCCAGTCACCAGCATCCCCTGTGTCTCTCCTCTCAGCCTTTGCAGGTGCTGAGCAAGGAAGGGACCTTCCCTGGACCCTGAGCTCCCATGCTAGGAGCCTCCCCCACTATATTCTCAGAGTAGATCCTTGGTCGAGTGGAGGCAGGGGTGGGGGTCATGACAAGAGCCATGTCTCTCCACCACCTCTACTAGTGCTGCTGGTCCACAGCTATCACAGCATATCTGATTTCTCAGCATCAGAAACAAATGTCACCAGCCACCTGTGGGAAGTTGGAGTTTCGCATCACCATCACCTGGAGGGCTGTGGTGCCCTCCTCCTGTAACATACCTGTGCCATGGGTCAAGTTTGCCTTTCCTGCCCATGGCACTCTGAGGAGCATCAGCATCCAGACACTCAGAGAGGGTGTGATTGAGACAGAAATCTTCACAGCAGGACCTATTGTGTGCTGCAGGACCTGGAACAATACGTGCATGATGGTGGCTTCCACTGGTCCTCCAAACACAGCCTCTCCCACAACCCACTTGGGGAGGACCTCCTGCAGACTCTTGGAGTCTCCCTCAAGATGTACTTCACCTTAATAAGATGTCCCTGATGGCAAGGAGGAATGTCTTAGGAAGTAAGGGGCATGTGACTTTCTACTCTTGCAACTCTAGACCCTGCAGGGTAGGAGGTCTTGATCCCAGCCATAGAATGTCTCCCTGAGTCTACTACAGAATACCTTCAAGTGTATCCTAAAGCTTTATTAACTCAGCACCCGGCAGACAGCAAACAACCAGAAATGTAAAATTCTTTATTGCTTGTGCCAGGTTGTATAATTCAACTATAACAAGTAGGTTTATGCTCCACATTTGATGTTTGAGAGCAGGAGGTCTGGGTGAACACCAGGACTAAGGAACGGTGATGGACACTTGTCAAAAGAACATGAGAGCTGTCCCTCAATGGATGTAACACAAAATCAGGAACAATCAGAATGAAGCAGAGTAGGGACACTATTTTAAGCCCTGACCCTGCAAACACCAGCTCAGCAGAGGCTATAGCTTTGCTCTGGAGCCCGGGATGGAGAAGGGTGAAGGGCACAGGTACAGGGAGGACTTCTTAGTTTTCTGCTCCATGAAATGCTTTCTCAGGATCATGTCCCATGTGTGGTGTTTGATTTCAGACCTGGCAGCCAAAAGTCACTGTTTTAGACAACATTTACTGCAAGTGGGAGTAAAAGACAGTTATTTAAGGTGATTGTTTATGCTCTTCTTTAGACTGTGTTATGGTTTGCATATGGGGTATCCCTCAGGGAGCCATTTTGAAAAACACAAGGGGATCTTCTCTGGGCAGGTAGCCAGAGAGATTTTAGGTGTCATTAGGAATATCTGTGGCTCCCCCACACAATAGATTGCACAAGGCACCTGAACTTTACTTTTGCTCTTCCAGGAAGGTCTCTCATGGTCCCAAGGAAAGTGGGCTTAACCCATTGGGAACTGGACAGCCCACCTTTTTAACCTTTTTAAAAAAAATTCTATCGAAGGCCTTTGATGTCCACAATATAAATAAAGCAGGTGCAGGCTCCACTGTACCAGAGTACAGAAGTGCACTCCATTGTATGATCTGCTGGCCCCTCCCGCCCTCCGTTTTTGAAATCATTTAAAGTGTCTTGTAGTTTTTTTTTTTTTTGTTGTTGTTGTTGTTATTCTATTTTTATTAGATTTTATTTCTCAGCCAGCCCGTCCCATTGAGGGGAACCCCACTCCCAGTGCCTATGCAGGACATATGGGAGACTGTCCCCATAAAGGTCCTGTGTTAATGCAGAAATATTCAGAGGTGAAATGAGAAGATTTTGGGAGCTGAGCCTGATCAGTCCTTCCTGGCCTGAGTGGACTAACTGGGTGGTGACTGAGGGCAGGGGGTAGTGGCTGGAGCAGGTGGTCACTAGGGGTGAGCCCTGGAAGGTGCGTCCTCCCTGAGGTCCCTTCCCCTCTGTCCTTGCACTTTTTGGCCACCATGAGTGAAGCAGCTCTCCTCCCCCACACCCTTCTGCGCTGATGTTCTGCCCACCTGGGCCCAGAGCAATGGGGTCAGCTGACCATGGACGGAAATTCTGAACCCATGAGCCCAAGTCAACTTTTCCTGACTATGTTAGATTTGTGCTGAATTTTTGCCACAACAAAGAAAAACCGACCAACACAGACTGGTGATTAGAAGGATTTCCCTTGAATTCAGGCATCTGTGGCTCCTAAATGCTTCTAAGGAGGTTTCTAGGCCTAGAAGAAAAATGAACCTATTATCTGGGTGGGGGTGGGGGGCGTCCTGTCCCTCTGTAGACCATAAATCACAGCCCTGGCCTGTACTAGGATCTGATCAGTCATTCAGAATTTCCAGGCCTGTGATGTGACCCAATTCCTTAGTGTCCAGGTAGCAAAGAAACCTCTCATCTTCATAAAAATCTGCATAACTTCCTATGAATGAGAAAGTTCTAGTCAGTTCACATTAACACTGAGTTAAAACATCCCTAAGGATCATCTGAACAGGATTTTAGATCAGCCACAATAAAAGTGCATCAACCAGCAATTGCAAATGTGTTTGAAGCAAATGAAGAACAAACAGAAAGCATCAGCCAGGGAACAGAAACTGTGCAAGGACAGAAAAAGGAAAGTTCCAGAACTGAAAACTCCATTCACCATAGTAAGAGCCCAGTGGGGAGCTGAGCAGGTGAATGGAGCAGACAGAGGAAGGAGGCAGCAGGAGGGACAGCCATGGTCACACCCAGCTAGAGAACCCTGGAGACAGCCTAGTGGGCCAGAGAACAGGGACTCAGATGACCAGAAGGTGCCTGCCAGCCCACCCCACAGAACACTGCCAGCTTCTGAAGAGAGAAACAGAGACCTTAAAAGCTGGGAGGGAAAAGCGACTCCTTAGCTTTATGGGAGAAGCAACTGGGATGAACAGAGAATTTCTCCCCTGGAAACAGGGAGGACAAAGGAAAGGACACACTTTCAAGTGTTGAGGAAAAAGACTGTGGACCCAGAACTCCAGATCCAGGAAATGTTGTTCAGCAATCAAGGTAAACTCAAGAGCCCTCAGCTGTAGAAACATGAAGAGACCCCAATGTGGCTGCGAAGTGCTCTATAGAGAATAGAGACATGACAGGCGCAGGGATGAGGAACACAGGATGGGGAAGGACCATAAAGTATGGACAAGTGACAAGCATTTGAGACCTGGGTCTGACCATTGCACATTGTGGACATCTGTCCAAACATCACTATGACACCCCAGGTCACCAGGGAAATGCAATTAAAACACATGAGAAAACAGCCCCCTTGAGGGATGGCCAAGTCCAGGAGGGAGCACCCCACATATAGCAGAAGGGGAGCCCAGGCCCCATCCCTGCTGCTGAGCTGGTCCTGGCTGCAGTCAAAACCACTCCCAGCAGCTGAATGTTCTGGGGAGTGTCCACAAGCTATCTCCAAGATGGAGGCAGGATGTGCAAGACAATGTGACAGATTCTGATAATACAAGACATTCTGCTATGAAATAAAAGATGATGAATGTACACATCTAGAAATAAATAAAATTCTGTACCTGAAAACTTACAGGAACTGTGTTCAGCATTGAAAACTTGGAAGACTCAATTGTGCCTTTCAGTAGGGGAATGGATCAATACTGTTATAGAGCCAGTAAATAGAATATTACTCAGCACTGAAGAGAACACAGCGATCAAGCTGGGTGCAATGATGCTCACAGGTAACTTGTCATCCTCTTTCCCTAGCAACTAGGAGGCTGAGGAAAGAGGATGACAAGTTTAAGGCCAGGTTCAGCAACTTAGCAAGGACCTAACAACTCTAAGAGATCCCATCTCAAAATTAAAAAATAAAATAAATAGGACTGTGAATGTAGCTAAGTGGTAGCACATGCCTGGATTCAGTACCAAGTTTGAAGAAAAATCTAAAAAGAAAAAAGAAGGAAAGGAAACACCTACCAATCATGTCATGGAAACCCCTAGAGGAAGCTTAGGTGCACAGCACTCAGGTGAGAGCCAGTCTGAACATCTCACCTGCTGTAAATTCCAGGCCCTTGTCACTCTGCCCAGGTGAAGCTAAAGGATGGAAAATCATGAAGGTCCACAGCATATAGGGGGGAGAGGAACAGCTGGAGCTCAGACAGGATGAGGGCGGGAACTGCACTGTGCCAGGCCACACTGATGGACTCACGTCACTGTCCACTTGTCTAGTTCCACAGAATGCACAAAGTGACCCTGGTGTGACCTGTAGACATGGGCAGAGGTTGATGGATTGTAACAAAAGCAACAGCATCTGGGGTGGTGATGGAGGGGCTGGGGGAGCAGGGGGTCATGGGAGAACCCTATACTTCACTCCAATTTTCCTGGATGCTTAAACTACACTAAAAAATAAAGTCTAAAATATTCCCATGTGGAACACATGGAGAGGCCTCTCTTTGCTGCACAACCCCTGATACTGCCTAATTCAGTCTCTTCAGGTCTTTAATTACTTTCTCTATCATACAGTGAGCTCATTGCCTGCTGAGGCTGAGCTGAAGGTTCAGGGTGCAGAGGAGCCCCTCTGGATCCTCTGACTGACCCTCCTTGTAGTGCTCAGGGCCTGGCTGCCTCTGAGCAGTGCCCTCAGCAGGTGGAGGCAGGAGGAGGAGCAGCTGGGGCAGCCCAGCCTCACAATTCTGCTCCCTGGGAGGTTTTTGTCATGGCCTGTATCACTGTAGGAGGGGAACTGTAGTCTTGTTGACAGTAATAATTGGCAACATCTTCAGGCTCCAGGCTGCTGATAGTGAGAGTGAAATCTGTCCCATATCCACTGTCACTGAACCTCGAGGGGACCCCAGATTCCAAACCATCTGCACCATAGATGAGGAGCTTAGGAGCTTGTCCTGGTTTCTGCTGATACCAGTTTAAATAACTGCTAATGCCCTGACTGGCCCTGCAGATAATAGTGACTCTGTCTCCACGAGACACAGGCAAGGAGGATGGAGACTGGGTCAACGTGATGCCACATTTGACACCTAATATTAGAAACATAAAAGAAATATCCTTGTAAGTAGTGATGTTCCAAGAGGACTTTCCTGAGTAGCCAGGCAGCACTGATGACACTGTGATTAGTAAATCCCCAGTGCTGTCCCTCCTTACCTGGGAGGCAGAGCAACAGGATCCCCAGGAGCTGAGCAGGGGCCTTCATGGCCATGCTGTGTCCTGACAGGGACTGACTCCTGCACAGGGTGTGAGCAGCCTCTTAAGAAGTCCTCAGGGCAGTGGGCTGTGCTGTGGGCACATGCAAATCAGCAGGGCTGGGCAGGCTGGGCACAGCTGCAGGGAGACTCCTCCTGGTCAATCAACACAGGCTCCGTGTGTCCAGGTGTCCCAGGTCAGACCAGGCAGCTCAGATTTTCTTGGGGGAACATGGTTCCCTAGGGTCACAGGACACAGCCATTACCCTGAGCTGTGAGGGTCAGCAAAGAACCACCAGAGCTTCATCTCAGCCAGAGTCCAATTTGCTTAGAAATGAATGAAAGGAATATTATATACCACATACATAATATTTAGGAGATGATTTATATGGATATGTCTGTGTTTATTCTGCATCTCTAGTATATGTCTGCACATAGATAATGCCATGACTTTTGGTTTAATGTGTGATGTTTTTCTTTTTCCTTTGCTACTTTGTCAGTTCTGGATCTACACAGAGTCTCTTACTTGCTAGGCCAGCAATGAGCTACACCCAAATTGGTTTCATTTTATTTATATACAGTGATTCTATAATTTTCCTGGGGTGGCCTTGAACCTGCAGTCCTCCTCCCTCAGTCTCAAGAAGTACAGGACTATAGGTGTGTGCCACCCTGCCCATGGGACTCTAAGTTCAGACACCCTGAGCCTGGGCAGGTAAAGCTGGCATCTCTTGCCTAAACCCACAGATGCCTCTCCACTCTCAGGACTGAGCATGAGCACCATGGAGTTCAGGACCTGCACAGGGTCCACCTGCTGCCTGGAACAGTGACCTTCCCATTGCTCAGGACACTGGGTGACCCATGGGGCTATGATTACAGATAGGAGCAGGTTTCATACAGATGGGCAGTTATTCTTGACCCCAAGGGGACAGAAGTTCTGTGTCCAGAGCTAGGCAAGGGCAGCTCCTGCCTACTGGCGTCCCCCACACAGGGCAGAAGAGCTGGCTCAGTGACTGCATGGACACGAGACAAACCCATCCACAGCGGCTGCTGGCCACCCCTCTGACTGGACAGACAGAGGTGCCTCTGGCAGGTCACAGCTGACATGATGCAGGGACTCTGTTCAGAGTGGACCATGGCGGCCACACATACAGCCCTGAACACCTGCTCCTCTCCTTTCTGGTCTCTAAAGACCACCAGGCACCACCTTTGACTCTCCCATGAGAATCCAAGGGGTGGAGTCAGAGGCAGGACAAGGGCCAGGATGTGCAGGAGAACAGGGTTGTGACCCACATGAGGACAGCCATGTGGGGAGTGAGGAGTGACAGGTGTGAACTCAGAGTAGGAGGGGACAGGCAGAGAAGACCCAGGCAGGAGGGCAGAGGAGAGACAGTGTAGGAGCCCAGGATCCAGGGAGAAGGGGTGGGAGGGGGAGGGAGGGTGTGACTTCAGAGCTGTCCCCAACCTGCTCCCCTGAGGGTCCTCAGACTGTCAGCAGCCCTGTGCACAAGCAGCATCTTAGTGGAGGTTTGTCCCCTAGTGGGGAAAGGAAGAAGTTCAAGTTCCTTGAAGGAAGTGTGGCTGCTGGGGGCCAGAATGACCTGTGTCCCTGCCCCATAGCCCTCCCAGGCAGGCAGGCTGTGCAGAGGGCAGCAGGAGGCAGCAGGAGCTCAGCAGCCAGGCCCGGTCCCGATGGTGCCAGGCTGGTCACTGCTAATGCTGTTGCTGAGTCAGTAAGGGGCAGTGACCTGTCTTCTAGGACAAAGAAAGAAAGACTAACATGAGTGAGACCCTGTGTGTTTTCAATTTACCAGAAGTGAGTGCTCTCTCCAAGTTTCTGATGGATAGTGAGAGGGACATCACTGGACAAAGGCAGGAGGAATTGCCCTGGTGGATCAGGAGGCAGTAGGTGGTGTCAGGGTGCAGGAGGGATCTTACTACCATCCTGGCAGTCAGGAGGGCAGCATACTACCTTAGTGTCTGTTTTGCAGAGGACAAGGTGGCCACTCCCTGGAAGTCCTCTTAGGCCTGAGCCCTAAGCAAGGAGCGACAAAGTGTCTCGGTGGACATCCTGGCCATGCCCTGGACTTGCTTTGCACAGAAGTGTCCATGCTTTGGCTCAGGCCTGCCTGGCCTCCTCCAAGGCTCTGCACTGTCCCCCCTGAGCCCAGCCTGGTGTCCAGCATCCCCTGGGCTCTGCTGGTGCTTCTGCTGCACCTGGAGGCTGCCCTCCCTGGCAGCTGGTGCTGTGGCTGCTGCACCTGCAGGGCCTGGTGAGCGTCCTGCTCAGGAGAGTGGGCGGCAGCTCCAGGACACACACAGGGGACTGTGCAGGCAACATCCATACGATCGTGGATGTGTGTGTGTGTTTACAGGTGTGTGTATGTGTAGAAGTGCCATTTGAAGGCTTGTGCTACAAACATCTTCCCATAAGTTATTTTTTCTTTGTTTTTCACTTTTAGAGTGGAATATGGTTATGTTAAAATGGAAATTGTTACCTTGGAATAAGCTAACAGTGGAAAATAGATTATATTCTTAACCATATAAGACAATGTTGTTCTGGTTTCAACATTTTTTTTAGTTGAATGACATGCCTGATAACTGAATGAGCATTATTAGATTTTGATCACTAGTTTAATGAGAACCTATCAAATACCTCTTCTATACAATGTTTTTGCTGAATATTCAAATCAGACTAATTTCCATGGGGGTTGGTCTAGGGAGGTGTTTCACCATGCTCATCTGCCCACACACTCAGGACTGGCTTTGCACACACTCAGAGGCTGCTGCAGACAGGGAAATTGTTCCTGGAGTATTGGCTGCTCATCAATATGGTGACAGTCCTGGTGTCAGAATGTCATGCTGCTTCTACAGGAATGCAGGATGCTTGAAGTCAGGGGTTTGTGGGGGCTCCCACTGATATTCCAAAGGAAGTCCTGGGAGGCCAGACAAAGTGTCCTGAGGTCAGACTCCCTGCAGAGTGCCTCTGAGGGGGCCATGCATGCCCAAGGAGAAGGAAGCAGAGGCCGCAGTGGAGATCCTGGAGACTAGAGTTGCAATAACACAGACCATCTGCTGAGGAAAGCCTCAGGGAGAGCAGAGACCAGCCCAGAGGGAACCATGGGGTTGAACCTGCAGAGCCCCAGGGCGGGAGCTCTCAAGCCCTTTGGAGAGACCCTCACCAGGCCAAGTGCAGCAGACTCTGGGAGGGGCTACAGGACTTGTTTTCTCAGCTGGATCCTGGTCTGGCTTTTGTCCCATCACTTCTAGAGTGGGATGAAATACTAAAGTGAAAGAGGATGCCCCTATTTCTCTTACTTTTTGTTCTTTTTTAAAATTTTGGAGTGGAAATGTTTGAAGTGTCCCTTTATACATTGGATATATGCAATGTGCTTTTGATTTTTACAGGGTTCACACTGAGAGTTTGCCTTGAACTTGGACTTTTGAGCAATCCTGGAACTTTTTAAGATTATGGGAATTCATGGAAATGAGCCAAATGTATTTCACATTGTGAGATGTGAGCATTGGGGGCCCAGGGACAGATGTTATGATGTAGATATGAGATATCCCCCCAAAACTGATCTGTGAGACAATGCAAGGATATTTCTAGGTGAAATAATTGTGTTATGAGAGTCTTTCCCTAATCACCAATCAGTGCATTAATCCCCTGATGGAGATTAACTGGGTGGTTCCAGTAGGCAGGCAGGGTGTGCTGGAGGTTGGTCTTTGGGGACCTTCCTTTGAGTGATATATTTTCTCCTTCATCTGCAGTTTCTCTCTCCTGGCTTCCTGGTGACACTTCCTAAACCCTATTCTTCCAAGTCTCTCTTCTTCCAGAATCTTCTGCCTCACCGGGGGCCCATGGCAATGCAGTCAGCTGTCTATCGACTGAGACCTTTGAACAGTGAGCCCCAAATAAATTTATCCTCCTCTAATTGTTCTTGCCAGGTCTTCTGGTAACAGCAGCATAAAAGTGACTAAAACAACTTCCAACATTGTTAGGGTGGAAGCTTATGGGGCTTGAGGGGAGTGGGGTTGGAGGCAGCCTGAGAGAGAAGGCGTGGGCTGG